AGGACTCAAACCCAGGGCCTCAGGCATGCAAGGCAAGCACTCTACCACTGAGCCACCTTCCCAGCCCCAGAACAAAATGTTTAATTGTCTACTTGTCACTATCAATAAATCCACTACATAAAATCAGGAAAAAATTAATTTTTACAAGTAATAAGAAAGCAGTTTGGGCTGGGAAGGTGGCTCAGTGGTAGAGCACTTGCCTTGCATGCATGAGGCCCAGCACCACATAAGCAAAAAGAAAAAAGCCGGAAGTGGCGCTGTGGCTCAAGTGGTAGAGCGCTAGCCTTGAGTTGAAGAGCTAAGGGACAGCACAGCACCCAGGCCCAGAGTTCAGGGCCTATAACCGGACACCCCCCCCCCCAAAAAAAGAAAGCAGTTTGAATCAATCTCTGGTGCAATAAATATAGAAATTAAATTTATGATATTATTTCTACCTCACTTTCTCCTAAAATTCCTCTGAGGTAATAATATTTTGTCCCACCAAGGTTCTCTAAGCTGCCATGATTAACTGAATGGAGTGGGAGGAATGAAGAGAAGTTACTGAAAATGATCCAAACCATTTCCAGTCACTAAGAACCTTCTCTGAAATTCATGTAATTAAAATCTAGAGTTTGCATACCACATCTGCCCAGAACATCACAAGCCAGAATACCATAAAGATACCTGCACATCCAAGCTCATTGTTGCACTATTCAAAACAGCCAAGTTGTGGAAATAGCCCACACACCCTACAATCAATAGAGGAGTGGGCCAAAAAGAAAGAAATGTGGTAAATGTAGATAATGGAATTTTACTCATCCATTAGAAAGAATAAGATGATGTCATTTGCAGGGAAATGGATAAACACAGAACAAATTATGTTAAGTGAGGAAGCCAAGCTCAGAGAGACAAACAGTGCATGTTTTCTCTCATATGAGGAAGCCAGAGCTAAAATACCCCCAGGACTTAATAATTATACAGGACTCTAGATTCCCACAATGAGACCAAAAGAAGTTACTCAGGGGAGGAATCCAAATTGTAACACCTCTGAGCATTTAAAATACTACTTATCGGAACAAATTCCAGAAATGGGAAACATGGGTGTTTGGTGGTGTTGTTAATGATGATGGTATTTGTTTTTGCTTTATGGGTTGCTTTTTTTTCTGTCTTTTGAGGGATGCACATAATTGGAGGAAGAGTGAACAAATGCTATCATGGTACTTAGTATACACTATACACTAAGTGGAAAATGAACTATGTAACTTGTGGGTAAGGGTGGAAGGGGGGAACTGGGAGAAGTGAAGGAAGGGGTGATACTGCCCCCAAAGAAATGTACTCATCATTTGATTTATGAAATAGTGAACCCTCCAGGCAACACTTTAATAATAATATTTTAAAAATCAAAAAACCAAACTACAGCTTGCGGAGCATTGATGACTTACACCTGTGTTCCTAGTACGCTAGAAGAATCTCAGGAGGCTGAGATTTGAGGATTACAGTTGGAAGCCAGCCCAGGCAGACAAATCCAAGACTTTTATCTCCAATTAACCAATACAAAGCTAGAAGTGAAGGTGTGGTTCAAGTGGCAGAGTGCCAGCCTTGAGAAATAAAAGCTAAGGGAGAACCAGCCATCCTGAGTTCAAGCCCCAGTACTGACACAAAAACAAAAATTATTGCTCATTCCTCTCTCACTCATTCAGGTTACTTATATAACCAAAAGCTACAGATGGAAATGATTTGAATAGGACTGGAAGCTAGAGAAGTAATGCAGCAGCAAACAACAAAGGAGCCTCACATGCAAATTGTGTGGTACTGTGGCCAAACAGTACACTGGTAAGACCACCAGTTCGTTTCCTCTTCCTCATTCCTCAGGTTAACCAAGTTGTTATTGTGTATTTTCTTCAATGTCTTTGGTTAACTGTCATAATAAAGTAATTGAGCTAAAAGAGGATGCCATTGTATAAAACTTCCTCTTTAAATATTCAAAGTCTACACTTTCCAGATTGTTAGGTTTGCATCTGTCATTTTGGATATATATTTGGGCTCATGCAACCGTTACATGCTTTTTATGTTGAATTGATAGTCAGCACTAACAGATGCCATTTAAGCACATAAATTCCAATATTTTTATTTTTAATCGTTACTATAAAGGTTATGTACAGAGGGTTAAATTTATATAAGTCAGGTGATGAGTCCATCTTTTTGAACAATGTCATCCTCACTGTTTTCCCCTCCTGTCCCCATCCACAAGTTTTATAGTTCATTTTCAACTAGATAAATTCTACTTTACCAGGAAATCAGCAAGTTAACTATCATTTAAACAATGCAAATGTTCACACACACACACACACACACACACACACTTCTAGCCACCATTTAAAAATCTATTTTTTTCTCTTTTGTTGCTCTTGAAATGCTGAACAACTTTAAAGAATTGTTACTTTAGCAAATTTATGAAAACCCATTGCCATAAAACAATGTGTGATAAACCAAATCATGAAATTCTGAGTCCCTGAAATAATCTTTATGGAGTTAAAAACATGTGAATCGGGTAAGAGCATATTTTAGTGGCAGAAGAGTCATGGAAAGGGAATAGTCCAGTAAGAGATCTGAAAAGTAATTTATTTGAGCAGCACCTGGAGTTTTTTTTTTTTTTTTTTGTTTGGTCGTGAATCTTGAACTCTGGGCCTGGGCGCTGTACCTCAGCATTTTAGCTTAAGGCTAATGCTCTACCACTTGAGCCATGGCACCACTTCTGGCTTTTTCTGTTTATGTTGTGCTGAGGAATCAAACCCAGGGCCTTATGCATGTGAGGCAAACACTCTACCACTGAGCCACCTACCCAACCCCCGGAGATGTTTTAAAAGACAAAACTTAAGATTGTTTTAGTCAAAATGACATTTCTAGTTTTAAAAAAAGAAATAAGTTTAATCTGTGCCATGAACAAACAAAACTAAAGAAAAATGAAGCAAATAAACACATACTGATCATGCAAATCAGGACAAGGGGCAGCAACATCAAAAGCTAGAGCACAGTACTTTTGTCCCTGGGTTCCTAAGGGGGATTGGTTTCCAGGCCCCCTGTGGACCCTTAAATCCTGAGCTCAAGTTCCTTCTATAAAATTGCTCAGCTGAGAATAGGGTGATTAGGCTTGAAACCAGTCTGAAGTTCTTCAGCCCAAAGCTGGATATGGTGGCACACCTGTCATTCCAGCTTTGTCAGAGGCTGAGGTTGGAAGGACTCTAGTTCCAGGCCTATCCTAGCTATATCAGGATGTCTAAATGATAAAAAGTGAGACCTTAACTCAAAAATAACCAACACAAAATGTCAGGAGGTAGGACTCAGGGGTAGCAAAGCTTCCTAGCAGATGCTGAAGCTCTGAGTTCAAACCACTACAAAGGTGTAGTATTTGCATATAACCTATATACATCCTTTCATATACTTTAAATCATCTCTAGATTATGTTACAGTTTAGTACTGGAGTTTGGATTCCAAGCCTCATGCCCTTGCTTAGCTTTTTCTGCCAAGGCTGATGCTCTACCACTACTGTACTTTCACTTCTGGCTTTTTGTTGTTTAAGAGTCTCATGGAGTTCTCTGCAGGGCTGGTTTTGAATTGTGATCCAGATGGCTGCCTCCTGAGTAGCAGGATTACTGTGGCATGAGCCACAGCAGCCTGCCTTTCTTTCCAAAATACAAAACAATAGACAAAAATCTTAAAAACAAAAAACAAAAACAAGTTCGGAAATTTTTCAGATGGTGTAATTTACTCTCTGACCTGGATTTTAGAGACAATAATGTGGATTGAAAATACTTTTTTTAACGTTAAGAACAGTACGTGCTTACAAGAGAAATTTTGGAAAATACAGAAAAGTGCAAAACAGAAAAGAAAAAGTCCTTTATTCAGTCAATGAAGGTTAACATTTTTACACTTTTTAACTGGATTTGATATCATTAATGTTACTTTGCTATCCTTAGCCACTTCTTAAATCAAGTACACTTACTTGAGAGTATGATCTCATTTTATATAATGCTATCTATCAATCTCATCATCACGTGTTTGAAAAAGTACAGCTTCTTACGAAGACTCCGAAATCAACGTGCAGAAAAGAATGTCAAACAGAAAATGGGCAGAATTCAGAGGAAGACATTTGGTGTAGGAAAGGTAACTGACTTGCTCTACCAGGGGCAGAACAGGACTAGGCTGAACGGCAGGATCCCCAATCACCTCGTCACCACCCAAGCAGAACGTCAGGATCGCAGCTGCGCCGGTGGCTCAGACCTGTGATCCTTGCTACTCAGGAGGCTGAGATCGCGGTTCGAAACCAGCCCAAGTAGGAAAGTCCGTGAGACTCCAGTTATGTGCCAAAAACCAGAAGTGGCACAGCAGGCACGAGCCACCGGAGCCTGCCTGGCTCAGGTGGTAGAGCGCCAGAAAACAAAACGAAAAAACCACTGCGCTCTAGTTCCCTTTAGGCAAGGCGTCGCGGTAAACCGAAGGGCACGTAAAGGGTCCGAAGTACCTAGAGGCCCATGATAACCCTGGCGGCTCCCGCGATTGGGTTCGACCAAGACTGCGGTCGCCATGACAACCGGAGGAGCTGGCAGGTGTGCGCCAACAGAAGCATCCGCGCGCTTACTGCGCAAGCGCGGCTAGTCGCAGGGCCGCGCATGCGCTAACGTAACCTCACGCTCCGGCGGGGGGGGGGCGCTGAGCCCCTCACTTCGTCGTCACAGCGGCGATGTTGAGGGTGCGTCCGCCTCTTTCTTCCCCCTTCTCTCCTCCCCTCCTTCCCCTTCCCCTAGTCCCTTTTGCGGCTACCTCCTTCCCCTGGCTCTCCCGGGGATTCGGGGGTGGGCCGGTGGGCCGCCGTCTCCGGAAGCGCGTCCCACCCCTTCCGCCCTCGGCGGCGGCGGCGGAGGCATTGGCTGCGGGGCCTGCGCCTGCGCGTCTCCCTGTAGGGTAGGCAGGCGGCTCCGTGGGGCGTGTCCCGCCCCTTCCGCCCCCGGCGGCGGCGTTGGCGGCGGGGCCTGCGCCTGCGCCTGCGCGTATCCCGCCAGGGTCGGCCGGCGGCTCCGCTGGGCGCGTCACGGCCCGCAGCCCGGGCTCGATGGCGATGAGCTACAACGCCAAGGATGAGGTGGACGGCGGGCCCCCGTGTGCTCCGGGGGGCTCCGCGAAGACCCCGAGGCCGGACAACACGGCCTTCAAACAGCAACGGCTGCCCGCTTGGCAGCCCATCCTCACGGCCGGCACGGTGCTGCCCACCTTCTTCGTGATCGGCCTCATCTTCATCCCCATCGGCATCGGCATCTTCGTCACCTCCAACAACATCTGCGAGATCGAGGTGAGAGGTGCCCGCGCCCAGGCCCGGGGTCCCCGGGGTGAGGGGTGTCCCGCCAGGGTCCGCGGTCCCGGGGGTGAGGGGTGTCCGCGGTCCCCGGGGGTGAGAGATGTCCGCGGTCCCGGGGGTGAGGGGTGTCCGCGGTCCCCGGGGTGAGGGGTGTCCCGCCAGGGTCCGCGGTCCCGGGGGTGAGGGGTGTCCGCGGTCCCCGGGGTGAGGGGTGTCCCGCCAGGGTCCGCGGTCCCGGGGGTGAGGGGTGTCCGCGGTCCCCGGGGTGAGGGGTGGCCCGTCGGGGCCCGCGGTCCCGGGGGTGAGGGGTGCCCGCGCCCGGGCCCGGGGTCCCCGGGGTGAGAGATGCCCGCGGTCCCCGGGGTGAGGGGTGCTCCGCCGGTCCCTTCCTCACCCTGCGTTCTTCGGTCTCGTTCTCTGGCTCCCGAGTTTTCTCTTTTGCTCTAACTTCCTCCCCGCCCCGACTCGAGAGACTCTTGTTTCAAGTGTTGCTCAACGGCGTGAACAGAGAAGTAGAGGGGGAAGAGTGATAGGAACTGAGTGCTCCCACCTGGGCTGCTACCTGGCCGCAGGGGTGTTTGGGGGAGGGGGGGTTATTCCAGAACTCTCTTTACCACCTTGGCCATTGCTGTGAAAGGCCTCAGAGTCACCGAGGATATTGACTCTTACTTCAATGAACGGATCACGACGTATTGGGACATAGGACCTAAATACATGGTTTTAGGTGGTAGAACATCCATGCTGTAGGTAAAAGGGAACCTGGAACCTGAGATCTGCTTTGGTTTGTAGGCTGAGTTTATTAATAATTATGCCCCACGTTCCCCTAGGAGTTTTTTCCCCTTCCACCTTGTAAAATCTATCATTTTACACAGGGAGTTAAGTTGTGCACTGTTAAAACCATTTGGCTGGTCTTGTTTATGCTGACATTTTGCTTATAAAAGACATGATGATAATAGGGGCTATTTTGTTGTCTCAGCAATTTGCAGGGTGAAGAGGTTGTTAGAATAAATACTGTATCGTGTCCAATGTGAGGCTTCTGCTTGTCCTCTTCCATATTTAAGGGTGATTTTATCTGTTGAAAGTATAAGAGCCCATACCAACTAATACAGGTTTTTTCTATTCTGATTTCATGTATATAGTTGGACCATTTTTAAATAGGGTAGGGAGTAGGGGAAAAGTGATTCATTCTATCTATCTGTCTATCTATCTATCTGTATCTGACTGTCTAATTGTTTGTGAGCTAGCTGTTCTTGAGGCTTGAATTTAGAGCCTGGGTGCTGGCTTTTTCTCTTTCAAGGCTGGAGCACTACCTCTTAAGCTTTCTAAAAAAGGCTTGGGAGTTTTTGTGGTTAACTGGAGATAAGAGACTTACTGCTTCTGCTTTTGCTGTGATCCTTAGATCTCAGCCTCCCCAAGCAGATTGAAATAGTTTTTTTTTTTTCTTCTTTTTTTTTTTTTTGTCCAGTCGTGGGGCCTGAACTCTGGGCTTGGGCGCTGTCCCTCAGCTCTTCAGCTCAAGGCTAGCGCTCTACCACTTGAGCCACAGCGCCACTTCTGGCTTTTTTCTTTTTGCTTATGTGGTGCTGAGGAATCGAACCTAGGTCCTTGAGCATGCAAGGCAAGCGCTCTACCACTGAGCCACCTTCCCAGCCCAAACAAGCTTTTTTTGTTGTTGTTGGTGGTGGGGCTTGAACTCTGGGTCTGGGCACTGTCCCTCAGCTCTTCAGCGCTCTACCACTTGAGCCACAGCACCACTTCCGGTTTTTTTTTCTGTTTATGTGGTTCTGAGGAATCGAACCCAGGGCCTCATGCATGCAAGGCAAGCGCTCTACCACTGAGCCACCTTCCCAGCTGAAATAGTTTTTAATTGCTTCAGTTTTGCCAGTAGTATCTACACCAAACTAGTTTTTAAGTTTTTAATTTTTTTTGGAGGGGCTTGTTCCTGGGCTTGAACTCAGGGCCTGAGCACTGTCCTTGAGCTTCTTTTGCTCAAGGCTAGCACTCTACCACATGAGCCACAGCACCACTTCGGGCTTTTTCCGTATATGTGGTACTGAGGAATCAAACCTAGGGCTTCATGCATGCTAGGCAAGCTCTTTACCACTAAGCTACATTCCCAGCCTCCACTTGCACTTTTTGCTGGTTAGTAGGAGGTAAGAGTTTCACCGCTTTTCTGCTTGGGCTGACTTCAAACCAGGATCCTCAGATCTCATCCACCTGAGTAGCTAGGATTACAGATGTGAGCCACTGGTACCCAGTCTGGTTTTTAAATCTTTTACTAAAAATTCATTTTCATCTTATTTACTAAAGCAAGTGTCACTGACTTTTTTCCCCCAATATGCATTTTTATTTTTTTCTCTCCTTTATAGGCCTGCAAATGTAGTCCAAAATGCTCCAAAATTTGAAGCTGCTTTTTGTGTGTATTATGTTAGGCACTCACAAAGTTTTGAGTTTTGGATTTGACTTTCAGATTAAGTATACTTACTAACTGGTAAAGTTCATAAGTTCATTCCTCCTCCACAACAGCAAATCTGAAAATCCTCAAATCTGTAAAGTTCTGCTACAATGCATTTGGATAAGGAATATGCAACTTGTATTTCTTGTTCTCCCAGCCACACTTGGGTCACATAATCAGTTTGTTAACAAACTTGTGTAATTGGAGCCTGGGTTAAATTCCAGTTTAGCCACTTAATTAGCTTAATTTACCTGCTTCCTCCTATGTTCTCTTTGTCATTGCTAACGTAAATAGAGTACAGTAAACTAATTTGAAAGTAAACTAATTTAATTACAAAATTGAGACAGAAAAGCAAATGACCTGGTTTCCTTAATCTTTTACACTAGTCAGATCTTTACCACAGTGATAGTAGATGTAGAAGAAAACAAAGTGACATTAGAAATTCGAATCCTCTTATTGCAATGTCTGAAGATGCAGTGATAAAAGCAACTGTAATTTGAATTATATGGCTCAGTGGTTACGAATTATCAGAAAACTAAGGAAGTATGGACATCTTTAAAAATTTAAAAACTTTTGGGTTCTGAAATATAGTACAGTCCTTTAAGTAGTTGATGAGGTGGAAATTTCTTTAGTTTTCCTGTGTAGTTCTGATTTCAAAGCTCTTTGAAGACTTGCAGCTGAGTCTTGTCAGAAGGGCACAGGAAAGTTGAGTCAGGCTACTATTAAGGTCCCACTCTCCTTTTCTAGTTTGTGACTGTAGGCATGTTTGTGAATCCAAGTTTTGCAAATCAAAAGATTCAGATTAGCTGATCTCTAAGATGCTCTTCAACTTAAATTTTATAACTTCAAGCTTAAATTTTATTTAAAAAAATGATACATGTTGAAATATATTGCTTTAGGGACTAGAGGAAATGGAATTTGTGAATAATTGTGAATTTTTGTTTTTATCTGTATTTTGTGTGTGTGTGTGTGTTTGTGCGTCTTTTTTCTTTTTCAGTATTGGGGATCGAACCCAGGACAATGCACTTGCTAAGGCAAGTGCTTTGACACTGAGCTACATCCCAGCCCAGTAACTGAGAATTTGGTGCCAACATTGACAAATAGTTGTGTTAGTAGAAGGTTTGCACTTGTGGGTATGTGCAATTGTGTGTTAAAAGTTAAGTATTAAACATGTGGATAAATTGTTTTGCATTAGGTCTAGAACTAGAAAAAAACTAGGGAGTTTTCTCAAATACATATACTTGTTTCTGACAGATCTCCTTTACCCTCTCCTCCCTCCTGTTTTTCCCCCTTCCTCCCTTTTCCTCCTTTCCCCTCCTTCCACTCTATTTTTGTTTTTTGTTTTTTGTGTGTGTTTGATTTTGAATCCATAACCAACAGCTTATGCTGTCCTTTTTAATACATATTAAAATATTTTGAGGATTATTAAAAGTAAGTGGGTAATGGGAAGCTATTGGCAACACTTCTGTGTTTTAAGTTCTTCACCTCTTAGTTTATTTATTTTTGAAAATTTGAAAGCCTCATTGCTGTATTATTTCAAATTACTAGGGCAACGCATACTTGTAAAATCAAAATGCTTGTCATAAAGTGCTGTGATCAGAATCTAAATATTTTTTAAGTAATAAGTGGCTCTTTTACATTCTCCAAGAAATGCCACACTAAAAAGGTACTGTTAAAATTGCCTTGGACCTCTGAAAAAGGCATTTTAAAAATGCACTTTGTTTTAATGATTACATATGAATTTAGGTATAGGCATTTTAAAAGTTGGGTTGTATATTTTCCGAGTGAAATATACTTGAGGCTTTAGAAAACTATAGTTATTTTTTATTTTTCAGGAGAAAATATTTTAAATTTTCATATTTTTTAAGTAGTAGCACTGTCTTCATTTATTATGAAGAACAAGGAATGAGTTCCTTAATTTGGCAACTGAAGGAGTCAGTCACATGTTTCTACTACAAAGGTAATGATTGTCTAGTCTAGAGCTCTTAGAGAAGCTGAGCTATGAACTTAAACTTGGTCTTCCTAAGAGAGTAAACTTATTCTTAACTTTTTCAAAAGATTTAGTAATTTTAAAATAATGAACAGAAAGTTTAGTAAGGTCTTTTGTGCCTGAAATTCCATCAGCTCCAGGAATCAGTTAAGTACAAGAGTTCCAGGTTAATTTGAGCAGCGTGGCAAGATAAAAGAACAAAAAATAATTGGCTAATGGTTAAAATCAAAATAGTATGGTTATTCAGAATAGTATTTAAATGGAATATACTGCAGTAAATTTAGTGACACCAAGAAACCAGACTTTTTTTCCCCAAACTAATAGCGTAGAAGATACATTTTCATGAAATTGTAGTGGTTTCTCATATTTAATAAAGAAATTTCCAACTTTCCTCCTTATCACGTTATTTCATTTATTCCTCTTAGTTCTTTAATCTTATCCCTCTAGTTTCTGATAAAAGTGTTTTTAATCTATACTTTAAATTTTATCTTAAAATTGCCAAACCCTAATTATACAAGGGGGGGGCACTGTGACATTTTCACACATGCA